GTTTTGATTGGTCAGGTAGGCCGCACATTATTGTTTCTGTTTCTGGATTGAATGAGCATACAAACAGTCCCAACTCAATTGCTTGTGAGTGAGGATTTACAATTCAGTTTCCTTCTGTGATTTTGTGCATGTGATTTTGAAATTCACCTTCTCTGAACAAATTTGTCAGGAAAACAGTGAGAAACTCTGGAATGTCTATGGAAGACCAACACAAAAAGGGTATGAATATGTCTGAAATTAAACCATTTACAAATGGGCAAGTGATTTAGGAAACGTTAGCCACCCACTAAGTCACATGCAGCACCACATTGTGACTAAAACTGGTTTGTTAATCAATCAGAAGCCATGTAAATCAGAAACATCTACAGCTGCAACCCAAACAAGCTCACTGAGACCCTGTCTGGATTTGGAAAATGATGTATGTTTAACAGAAGTGTTGGTAAGTGTTTATCAACTCTGTTGGCAAGTGTGTTAGACATGTCAGTTAGCATGTTTTGAAACATTACTTAGCACCTACAGTAGATAAAGACATTGATATTTAAAACGTGTTAGCTTGTCATAGTCAGCCTTTGTGTCCTCCCTAGGCTAACCTAGGACCCTAGGTTGACCATGACCCACTACCGTGTTTTCAAACACTACAATCCTTGTCTGCACTAGGTGCCAGATGCTGCAAATTAACAAACTGGCTAAACACACCTCATTTGCCTAGCCAAGATAGAGTCTGAGAGTTAGTTTCATACCTAGTTTATGTCAGGGTGCAGGACTTCTAGTGGTTAAAAGATGGCCTTTAGGGTGGAGGGGCAGGATAAAGGTGACAGGAACACAAGATGGCTGCAACTTTCTGCCTGAAAATGGTTGGAATGCTGTAGTCTTTTATGTCTGGACTCCTAGAATGATCTCATCTGTTTTCTTTTCCCTCTCTCTATATGCACCCAGCTAGCCAGCTATCCTGTGTCCCCCTCTTCATAAGACCTCAGCATGGTCACCTCACAATGCACTGAACTTACTCCCCAGTTTCAGGCACATGGGTAGATAGGCAATTCAGGAAAGCATATATATATATATATATATATCAGATACAACTCCAATTCTCCACTAGCACAAAGCTGCCTCATCCTCAGATAAGCTTTATTCTAAAAGTGTCACTTTGTGCCCATATCCTGCTCCCAACCTCCCATAACTATTCCCTTGGGCTGTCTCCCACACTATTTCCCCAAAAAAGAAAAGGAGTACTAGTGGCACCTTAGAGACTAACCAATTTATTTGAGCATGAGCTTTCGTGAACTACAGCTCACTTCATCGGATGCATTCAGTGGAAAATACAGTGTGTATGATAACACCCATTTTTTCATGTTCTGTGTGTATATAAATCTCCTCACTGTATTTTCCACTGAAAGCATCCGATGAAGTGAGCTGTAGCTCACGAAAGCTTATGCTCAAATAAATTGGTTAGTCTCTAAGGTGCCACAAGTACTCCTTTTCTTTTTTGCGAATACAGACTAACACGGCTGTTACTCTGAAACCTGTGACTATTTCCCCAATTGATGATATCCAAATTCTCCAAGGAAACAATGAGTAACAAATAAGCCCTTCTACCAGTCAGTGGTGTTGTTCTGATAAGCCCCTTTAAAACATTTGCTACTCACCCACTCTTGGCCTTACTCAGCTACCTGCAACTGGCTTCTGACCTTTGTGTTCCCACAAGGTCATATGACTATGCCCACATTGGCACCTCTTCTTTTATATAGTCATTGAAAAAAACAACAACTCACCAGCCAATCCCAATCAGCAGCAGCTGTTTTTGGCTTCTATTTAAGTCAGGGTTCCCTGACAAACACTCAGCACAGAGCATCTCATGCTCTCCTCTTGCAGCAGAAAAAAAAAGCAATCAAGAAATTAAAAATAAATAGATTAACCATTACCCTCAGTATTATTTAAGTGGAGAATAAAATCTCTGATGTTAGCAGAAAAGAAAAAGATGCTCCTACTTACAGATTAATTTAATATCAAAAAACTTGAAGGCATAGAAACATGGGCAATATGACTACAGGTAGGGAATATTTTCTCTACTCCCGCTCTTTAATAAAACATGTATTTCTGGTGGTCCCACACATCAAGTCTTCTGCTCCACTATCGCATATTTAATCCTTCACCAAGTGTAGCCCTTGAGACTCCCACATTTTTTTCTCTCTCTAAAACTTCTAGTCACATCTTCATGTAGGTATGTTTTTTGCATCTACATTTGAGAACAGGCTTCATATGTGATATCATATGTGATACCATCATCATTGCTATTACACAATCTATTGCTAAAGTCCATGTAAGGAGACCAGAGATACAGGAGCAACTGAACATGGGACACCCCTTGCACACATGAAACACATTGCAAGTTGCAAGAGGCACAGACATACATAAGCTCCAATTCAGAAAAGTACCCAAGTATGTGCTTAACTTTAAGCATTTGCTTAGGTCCATTTTTCTTCAGGAACCCATTGACTTCAATAGGACTTGAGCACACATTGAAGAGTATTCCTGAATAAGGATGCTTTTCTGAATGGGAGCCATAGTGCATTCCAACCAAGATGCACTTGTCCTATGTTGACTAGGGGAGTGGAGGAATATTTTTAAGTGGTACAGAATAAAAACATGGAAAGAACTAAAAGTGATTTTAAAGTGATCAAGGGGAGTTTGGCTTGCTTCAAAGTAACTAGGAGTGGTAAGTATTTAAGGAGGTATCTAAATAAATCTTTTAACAGGTCTCTCTCTCTCTCTCTTTCTTTCTAATTACCTGTCTGGTCATCTTGGATCTCAACCTTTTGATATCAAAAATAGGTATGCATGGAACAATATTTTACAGTTACACTGTTCTGGTTACAAAATAGCTTCTACTTTTTGAGGACATAATTTCATTTTGTTTAGCCAAGAATTCATTAAAGAAGCTATAAATAATCTTCTTTAAATATTTAGCCATGCATTGAGGATGGACTGGCATTGATGGCTTATTTTAGTACTACAGCAATATGCGCTTTTTTTTAAAGCATTTTAGCATGAATCAAGTTAATCATTAATACTTTCAATGTGATCCTCAGTATCATCTTAAAATGAGTCTGTTTTAAAACTTTTAGATTGCCCCCTCCCCTAAGGAAACCTGCAAGAGAAGCCAGGCAGGGAGAAAAATTACTCAACATTCCTTTTAATTCTTTTTCAGAGAGGCAGGATTTTGCCCCTGCCTCCTGGGGAAAAGTGCTGTTTAGCCTTCAAGCTATGTGGATCTTTGGGAATCTGCCACAGCTCAGGGGAATATCTGCAAATGACCAATAACTCACACTCTGCCTCTTGGTCCCCGGTCAGCATGACTCCAAGTGTCAGCTCCTCAGTTGATGTAAATTGTTATAGTCCATTACTTTCAATGGAGCTATGATAATTTACACCAGCTGAAGATCTGCCCCCAACACTTTCCTTATGGGCAGCAGCCATTGGATCACCCACTGAAGTGACTCATTCCCAGCCTCATTGGCAGTGAGGACTATGCATGCCGCTGCACCCTTCATCTTCCATGTAGCTCCTGGAATCCCACATAGACATCTACTTCAGAGATTCCCGAGGCCAGAAGGGACCATTGTGATCATCTAGTCTGACCAGTATAATACAGGCCATAGAACTTCCCCAAAATAATTCGTAGAGCAGAACTTGAAGAAAAACATCCAGTCTTGATTTAAAACCGGTCAGTGATGGAGAATCCACCACGACCTTGGGAAATAGTTCCAATGGTTAATTACTTTCACCATTAAAAATGTATGCTTTATTTGCAGTCTGAATTTGTCTAGCTTCAACTTCCAGCCATTGGATTGTGTTATACCTTTTTTCTGCTAGATTGAAGAGCCCATTATTAAATATTTGTTCCTCATGCAGATACTTAAGAGACTGTAACCAAGTCACCCATTTTCTCTATTAATATAAATAGGGCTCCTTGAGTCTGTTACTATAAGGCATGTTTTCTAATCCTTTAATCATTCTCATGGTTCTTCCTCTTCATCAACATCCTTCTTGAATTGTGGACACGATAACTGGAAACGTTATTCCAGCAGCAGTTACACCAGTGCCAAATATAGAGGTTATTTTATCTCTTTATTTCTATTTGAGATTCCTGTTTATGCAACCCAGGATCGCATTAGCTCTTTTGGCCAGAGCGGCAACCTGGGAGCTTATATTCACTTGCAAAAACAACTGTTCGCAACCTAGGTGAGCTGTTGGGTTGGTTCTGGGCAGTTTTAGCAAGGAAGTTGCATTTTAAAGCCAACTTAAAGATAAATAATGAGTTTTTTAATTACAGAAAATGTAGGAACAAATTTAAGTTTAAAACCAGGAAGAGATGTCTCCAGTCCCCCAAACTGCCTTCCTGGGTGTGGCAGTGGACAGTTTACACCACAGGAACAGAGACAAACCCGAGAGCACAGGCTGCAAGAGCTGGATAGATCCTGGCCCAAAATACTTTTCTGGGAGTAGTGTTAGGAGACTTGCTGTCCAAATGAGATGGCCAAGGCCTGGAAAGCCAGATGCTGGTGGGAACAAGAACTGTGCAGGGGGGTAGAAGGAATGTCACCTGGGTAACCACATGGTTAAATCCACAGAACCCTGGGCCAGAGACCAATCATGTCTATCTGCTGCTTCAAGACATTTTGCCTCAGTTCTCAGCGCCTTAGTCCTGTTAAGTTTTGAAATAAAATTGCAGCAATCAAGACATTTAGCAGCCACCCTCTCTGGGTATTTCCATGACAATTAAAATATTATCTGAATATATAAAAACTGGGGATTCTGTAACCATAGTCTGGGTCTATGCTCCTCTCCCTATGTGCATGTAGTTGCCACTGAAATTAATGGGTGTTTGCTACACAAAGGGGAAGAGAACAGACTGTGTGTCTATGCAATAGTGAGGAGTTTCAAAGAAGAAACTCTTTCCACATTTTCAGTTCTTAATAAATCAACAAAAAAACAAAAACAAAAGTCACAGCTTTGTTTTTACTTGAAAAGTTTAATTTTACAAAATACCATTTTCCATGAAAGAAACTTCCCTTCAGTGTACATGAACACAGCATTCTGTTTTAGAGATCTGTACAGTAAGATATCAGAGAGGTTCAATAGAAGGAAAAAAACCTGAATTTTAGCAGGTACCTACAACAATGTGGATACAAGAGTGTCTTAAAATGCTAAAGCAAGTAATGAAATATAATTGTTGAATCAATTTGAAATTTGAAAAGTTTCTTTAAAACTGTCCAGATGGTAAGTAGGACATCACAGCTGGTACAAAACTGCCTGTATATTTAGGTTTAAACATAAAACCAATGGCATATGAAGAGAAATCTTTGAAAAATAATTCCAAGTGCTGTTATCATAAGGCAAACATATACAAAGGTGCTGACCACATACAGGGAAATTGACAAAATAAACTGAATATTGAAGTGTTCAAACATTTTTTTTTTAAATATCACCAATAGAGGTCTATTAAGATAAACAATGCCAAATTAACATAAGATACCTTTTTACTAACTAGGCGTAATGCACATAGTTTTACATAATCTCAACAAATGTGAAACTAAGCGTTAATATTCAAACTTTCAATGTGTAGGCAGCAGGGCCTAGTTTGTCTGTTGCATTCTGGCAGCTTTGAATTTTGAAATCCTCTTTGTAGTTTCTTCTGATGCCTCAGACAGAACTTCCTCTGATTTTCGCTCCGGAATGGTAGGCAGGACAGGGTGAGCAATGCTTGGGTGTAGTATTAAGGGAGACAAAGGCTCTTTTTCTATAACAGTTCCAGAAAAAGCCTACAAGAGAAAAGAAAACTCAGAATGAGCTAATAAAATGCAGATGTGAAGCTCTGCCCATAAGGTCATTACCCTATATTAGCCTTATTAGGATAGTTATTTTTTTTTAATCAAAAGTAAAGAAATATCTTTAAATCAATGGTAGTTCCTTGAATAAGTAACCAAATTGTAATTAACCTCAAAATATAGCTTGTTCAAAGTAATCTGAATGAAAGATAGTGTTTTAAAAGTACTACTTAATCACATTCCTAACTGCATAAATGATCTGAAAAAATTGCTTCCCACTGATACATGTTCAAGAAAATAAAATAGATGATGCAATAGGCAATTTCATCTTGGATAACAAATGGGAAAAATTTGCAGATTTTAGGTCTGTCAGCATTTCCCCTCATACGTCATATTTTCATGGCTTAATATCTTGGCCTTTTCTAATTACATCAAGATGGCACCTAGAATACAAGTTTACCTATATTTTGTTGGTTTTCATTTTTTCTTTCTTACCAAAAATGATCAAAAAATTGGTCAAGGCAGTTTAAACTTAAGAGAGCAACAAATGATTTCCAATTCTTTTCTTCCTTTATAAATTCCAACTAAAACCATATGTGCTTAGTATTTTAAAATTACAATTTCCAATATAGCTTTTTTGCTACATAAAGAAAAAACAAACAGCCAGGATAGTTACAATTTGAAAAGCAGCTAGTAAAAAACTCTTTTTCATAAATGCTTTTAGTATCAGCCATGGGCTTACAGTATGCATAACACTCTGCTTATGCAATATAAAATACAACATTTTCAAAAAGTCACAATATTATGTGCCAAAAATTAAAAATGGTTCAGGGCATTTCAGAAAAAAGGTACACTAATTTACACCCAAGATTTGATCATTATATTGGGCGGGAGGGAATAGATACCAGATTTATTAAATCTGCTCTTTTAAGAGAGTTACTCAGTTGCCAAGGAAAACTCAGCAAAACAAAATAGTCACTCTTCTTGCAGGACCTGCAAAAAAGTAAATGTTTTTTGTGCTGTACTCCAACAGCTAAACTAAGCCCAAAGCTGTGCCTGTTTTGCTGATTTGTTCAATAACACCAGTGTCATTTTTATAAAAAGGTAAATAAAATGCAGCCATTGATGTTCTGCTGCATTAGGAAAAAAGAAAAAAAATCAGCACATGGCAAATGTTGCCAGAAAAATAATATACCTCAAATAACCATAAAAACAACTGAAAGCAAAACAACAATTTTTTTTTTTAAAAGTGAACGTCCCTTTCATTCTGACTGGAGCATTTTGCTCTGTGTGATATAATTACATAAAAAATACAGAGATACTATAGATACATGCCCTATTCAGAGAATGGATTGATATAGGAATGATTTGTTATGGTTTTACAGTGACCAAAAGTGTACTAGATGGTCAACATACAGAAGATACAGTCTCAGCCCCAAAAAGGTTTCAGAGTAACAGCCGTGTTAGTCTGTATTCGCAAAAAGAAAAGGAGTACTTGTGGCACCTTAGAGACTAACCAATTTATTTGAGCATGAGCTTTCGTGAGCTACAGCTCACTTCATCGGATGCATCTGATGAAGTGAGCTGTAGCTCACGAAAGCTCATGCTCAAATAAATTGGTTAGTCTCTAAGGTGCCACAAGTACTCCTTTTCTTTTAGCCCCAAAAAGGTTACCATCTATAGGGCTAACCCTGCAAAAGAATCCATGTCAGCAGATCCTTACGTCCCGACTGAATATCTTTAAAGTCAATGGGACTCCATGCAGGCATAAGGGCTGCCACATGGATCCCTCAGCAGCATTAGGGTCTAAACAAATATAACGAGTGGATAGAAAGAAAAACAAAAGGGGCATGAGGGTTACAACAACAGGACCATGTGGCTGTTTACAGAGTAAAGCATGCAATAGGTCTTCTGTGAGTCTACTTTTTCTTAAAAATAACTATGTTTCCAAAAGAAACCATTTCCCTTTGATGATGCCTTCTGTCCACAGAACTTCTGAAAATTCAATGTAACCTAACTTTTAAAAAATTGCTGTAATTTTCCATAACAAAAACAGAGGTAAAATATTAATCCCATGCATAGCATAGCAGCAGCCACATCTCATTTCTGAACATTTTCAATGGTTTTCGCAGCACATGCACCAGTGACGTACAATCTCTTTCATTTATGATAAGAAATTACCCAAGACTTTCCAAAGTCTTGGAAATATATTTGGTTCAGCTCTTCGATGGCATCTTGCCTGAAAGAGCAGGTTCTTCTTAAAGGCCGGAATGCCAAAAGTTGTGCTCTATGTCCGCTGGACAACCTCCTCTCTCCTCCTGTCATGGGACTCCGTAAACACTCTGAGGAGCCCAATGACACCATTTATTTTAAAATATAAAATAAGCCCTGGAGGTTCTCCATAATTGATATGTTAACACATTAAGAGCCTACAGTATACACGAAATCGCCTTCCCTCCCTCAGATTAGCAATTAGTGCTCAGTGGAAGGGATACTGTCTATTTGCACAAAAGTGGCAAATAGTCAGCTCAGCTGGTTATCCCACAACGAGAGGAAAAGGATAAGTGCAGGGAGAAGAACGGTTCTCCTGGCAATCTCTCCCCAAAGATGAGAGAGGTAGGGAGAGCTGGAAAATTAGTTAAAAAGAAATTAAACAAACTGATGGTAGAGGCAACTACACTATCCAACATTTTCCTTTTTATCCATGACAACAATCAATAATTAATCAAAAAATGTACCTCAAATGTCCCTGATAAGGTTGAAAGTTTTTTTGGAAGATGCTCCTGCCCCTCTTCCTCTTCCTCCTCCAAGATCCCCTCACTGTTGTCACTGTAAGTAGCTTCATCATAGCTAATACTCCTCAGAACTCCTCGTCTGTCATCAAACTCAGCAGCACTGCTCTCACTGGTATCACTACAAACACTATTCTCTCTGCTTCGGGACTTCAAAATTGATTTACGAGGGATATATTCTCCATTCACAACATCAACAAAGACTCTATAAAGGAAAATGTTAGCTTTAATAAACTAGTTCAGGATCAGATGACAAATTTACAGTTATCTCACTTTGTCTTTTGTACAAATTAATTACGATTTGCATTTCTGACTTTTCAACTGCTGTATTACAATACTGTACCTTTAAAAGATACAATAAAGCATTTTCTTTACTAATGAACATGGAGTAATTCTGCAAGCCAAACACTGTCATGCCTCTATTAAAGGATTAGCTGGTATATTCCCCTTTTTGAAGAATGTGTATAGCTCTTAGATACTTGACAGAACAGCTTGATTTGCAAAATGTAAAGAAACATTATAGTCACAAGATGATTTTGAGGGTTTAATTTCTAGAAACCAAACAGAATGTTGTGATAACAGAAGGTTTTCTAGTGTGAAATCATTTTCAGATGTAGAATATAAAAACAAGTGCTTGAAACATTTACTCGCATAGGACAAGGAAGTTTTCCCAGGCAAATGCCATAATTTTCTTCAGCATCTACACTTTCACTAAAAATAAAATAAGTTTTTAGTTCATAGGGTTCTGAAGAAACCTTCCAAACATGAACAGTGTGAACTGTCAGAGAGTCCTCTTCCTGAGTCTACAGATACTGTTCCCATCCCTCTGTTGCTGCTCATAGCTTTCCCAAACTGTAATGATAATTGACTAGCATCAGTTAATTTCCACTGCTGCTCTTAGAAACCCTATGGGTAGCTATAAAACCAAAGAGAATCAGGACAATTTAGTACTGGTGCAGCTTGCCAGAGGAAAAGGTAGGTACTAGAACTATTCACTGGGGAGGAGAATTCAAAAACAGGTGAGGTACCTTAGGAGACACCTCAACAATACTACCTCACAGCAGCTGGGGGATCTGGGAAAAAGTAGTCAGCGCTGGGGTTTAATAGTGCAGCACTGAAATCAATTAAAGCTTTGCCACTGACTTAAGTGGGAGCAGAAGCAGGATCACAGAGAAAAAAAGTACAACAGCTCCCTTTCAGCAGCTCGAAAGTGGGATTTTTTTGTTTGTTTCTCAAGGGTTTCACATTTTCTACTCACTTACTAGCCTAAGACTACAAAACATACCAATCCTTATCAGGGTTCAAAGACAGCACCATGAATCCCTAAACCTTCTCTTGTCCCAGCAGTTGTACAGCTGTGGGGGTGGGCTGGACTTTTCACCTAGTTGTTGCCTCTGAACAGATTTTCAAAGGTATTTAGGCATATGAAGATGCAGAAAGGTGCCAAGAAGGTACCTAGAGGCTTTTGAAAATTCTAACTCTCACTGATTGCAATAGATCTAGGTGCTTTTGAAAACCCAACAGGTGCCTGTCTGCATCTTTAGACACCTAAATACCTTTAAAAATCTGGCCCCCTGTCTCGATCTTACTTTTGTCCTTTGTGCAGTCCTTTAGCTATCAGAATTCTGGTCAATTTTTCTTGCCCTTTGAAGGAGGGAGAGGAGTGAATGGATAGGGAGTGAACAGAGAAAGTCTGTTCTGTGAGCAGATGGGGAAGAGAAAGACTGGAATTAAAAGTCGGAAAAGATGGAAAAGGAGAAAAAGAGAGATTTTGTAGGGAAAGAAGAAATGAGAAAGAGAATATACCAGAGAGGAGGTAAAGCACATGCTGAAAGGAACATGCTCAGCTGGAGGGAGAGTAAGAAAACAGGAAGGAGACAATAACAACTCAGACAGATATGTCAAGGGAAAGAAACAATGGAGTGAAGCTAGAAAGAGAAAGAAGGCATAATGTGATGGACATGATCAGTTATATTTAAAAAATATTTAACAGGAAGTTGATTGACAATATGTTTAATTAAACAATTTGCAATGAGCCATTTCATTCCTTTAAGTTGCAGAAGATATGGCATGAAGCAGTGGGATAAATTTTAAAAGCACCGCTAAAAGGAATTATGATCGGCTCTTAGTTTGAGAAAATGTAACTCTCAGCAAAGCAGCATGCAATAGCTATGAAGTGTGGCAGTTTAAATGTGTGACAACCATGCAGGAGACACAAAAGTGTTCATTTCTTAAGATGTACACCCAGTCCCAAATGCTTCTTTTGGGAGACACTGGGCAGCTCCATTTTGGGGTAAGATTTCAAAGTTGCTGCAGGATGCTTCAAAAAGGATACACTTGAACATAAAAGAAGGCTTTACTTTTCAAGCGTGCTATGGGAAAAGCAGGGCAGCCAACACTATACATTACATACCGGTAAATGTCTGCTGGTGTTTTGATGTTAGGCAGTTCTGGAGCCAAGTGTCCATTGCCATTGCTATTCTTCCTTTTACGTTTGGCCTCTTCTTTCTTTTCACTAAATTTCAAAGTAGTATTTTTTCCTGTGTTTATTCTTACCTGAAAATGAAAACACAAATTGGTCTAAAGTATAAAAATGAAGCAATCACGAGGTCATGGATCAAGTCAGTTCATGAATTCTTCATATCCAAGCATCTGGGGGGCTACAGCTAAACAACAAAATGTAATGACAGTGACATTCTCAGTACTCACTGTCTCAATATTATGAGCAAAATTCATGTGCATTAGCACTTAGTGTCAAGAAATAGCTTCTTGCACCAGGATTGGGTAAGCATAAACAACCTGATTATACATCAAACCATACATCCTAAATTATTAACTCCATTAACCATTAAGAGCTTAGTTTCCCCTGAATGCAATGTTTCTCTTGAATATAAAAGGCATTTTTAGAACACTTGGACCAGGGAGGCTACCTTTTAGAAATATATGACAGTGTGTAAACTTTAATATTACTTTTTTGTATCATTTTTGAGAATTCATGTCTGAATTGGGAGATTTCAAAACACAGAGCAGCAAAAGAAACCTTCTGAAATAAAGAGCCAAATTAAACTTTGTCTATAGTCAAGGTCCCAAATACAAGACATGCCATGGCAAGCTCCTTGTCAAGGTTTCACATGAATGTTTGACACAACATGTTGAATTCTGCGACGGCTTTTACATTTTACAATACTGCATGTCTAAAATAAATATAAAATGCATTTTCAGAAAAAAAAATTGATTCTAGGGCTGTAAGTAGCTCAAACAGTTAGAATTCTCCTGTAGTAACATTTTAGATGTGCTATTAGGAGTACAATCCATGGTTAGAGTCCAATGACAGATAAACTGGTAGCTACTATTGTTTCTGTCACATGAGAAAATCCTAGATATTAAAGATGTAAAAGACCTATTAGGACATCTAGTGCACTCCCACTCCCAACCCCACCAAAGCAGTATATCTGTTAGTGTTTTGTCCATTACTTTTTAATCTCCCAAGGGATGGGATCTTCCACCATTTCCCTTGAGACATTGTTCCCAATTTTAATGTAGACAGATTTCTGACTTATTTCTTCATGAGTCTTCATTTCACACTGGCTTTAGCGTTTAACGTCAGCTCTGGCAGGCTGGATGACTCCCTCAACAATATATCACTGCTGCCTCTTCCTTTGACTATAGGAGTTGCTCTAGATAACACATCACTCACTCTCCCCAGAGGATAAGGATGCTGCTTTCGTTGTGGTCCCTGCCTCTTTGAACCTAGTAAACAAGGAACTGACTTCAGCTCTGAACTCTGACACCATCTTACCCATGTGAGGTAGGTCCTTTTTTTGACTCATTAAAGCAATAGTATACTTTGTTGTCTGGCGCTATGGGGTACGCTATTTTAAATAAAGCATGTAGTATACAGACTATCTACATTATATGGAAATAAATACATTAAAAGTAATAGTACAAACCCTTTTAGGTTCAACAGTATGAGAGAAAAATATAGTTGGTACAAAATGATCAACTGCTAAATCATCTTCATCATCACTGTGATAATGACTTGGGCCATTAACTTGACCACTGAACAATTCTGAATTTGTTACTGCTTTCTGTACATTGTCCTGAGTAGTAGAGTCTTCCACTCTGTGTACCACATTCAGATCTGTCTTATCTTCTTTCTCCTCTTCAGAGGAGGTTGTATCTTCTCCATTTGCCTCAGTTGTATCAGGTGTCCTATAAAATGCAAAAAAATACTGAAGGAAAGAAAACTAATCAATACATATCATAACCTAACAAGATAACTTACAGAACAACATACGAAGCCACTGAATAATTTCCTTTACTTATGAGATGAGATTTTCTGGCAGAGGTTAGGGAAGAACAATATCATGCATGATATAATTCTTTTTTAAGGGCCAGACTGTGGAGCCCTTACTCATAATGGAACCACTCCAAAAACGAAATGCTTACCAATACAAACAAGAGAGCCACAATCTGGTCTTAAGTCATAATTTTTGCTTTAGGACCAAAACTGCTCTAAGGATGGTCATTCACAATTAAAAGAGTTGTTTACTGAGGAGTTGTACACAACAGGTCAGAAATGCGAAAGGTCCAACTATAATACTAGCTTACCCATCTTGTACACTTTGGGCCGGAATCGCTCTTGCAACCAAGCTCTAATCAGTGCAAGAGACAGATTAGGGTGTCAGGGAGCTGGTTACAGCTCCGTGATCAAGGGCCTTTCTGCAGTAGCCCCAAGGCCAGTGAAAGCAGCTATAGGGCTGCTCTAACTCACACCCTGGCACAGGGTCTCAAACGGCCCCTATGCCATTGGAGGATGGGAGTAGTGCAACTCTACTCTGCAATCCTCCAACCTCCTTTCCAAGTTGTGCCCTCTATGACGGGCATGGGAGGGAGGCAGTAGTCACAGGAGCTGCCTCTGCCATTGGGTAGTTTCCCTATGCCAGGAGAATGAGAGGATTCCTTCCTAGACATTTACAGGCAGATTCCAGCTCCTCTGTACCACTCAGGGGCTGGATTCCAGTAGAAAATCTGGCCCTTTATGTTCCAACCTTCTTCACTCTACCCTCATAATTAGAGTCCAATTCTTTTAGTTCTATCTATCTATCTGGGTGTTTATAGGCTCCATAACTGTATAATCCAAACACCTCACAAATGTTAATTAGTTTACTCTCACAATACACTTGAGGTAAGGAAGTTTTATTGTCCCCATTTCAATGATACAGAACGGAGGTATACAGAAATTAAATACATCCCGATCACACAGAAAGTCTGTGTCAGTCAGGCTCTGTACAAAGAAAAGGAGTACTTGTGGCACCTTAGAGACTAACAAATGTATTTGAGCATAAGCTTTTGTGAGCTACAGTTCACTTCATCAGATGCATTCAGTGGAAAATACAGTGGGGAGATTTATATACACAGAGAACATGAAACAATGGGTGTTACCATACACACTGTAACGAGAGTGATCAGGTAAGGTCTTCAAACTACAATTTGAGGACTTCAATAGCACAGATATAGGTGTGAGGTCTTTTTTAGGAGTGGTGGGTGAAATTCTGTGGCCTGCGTTGTGCGGGAGGTCGGACTAGATGATCATAATGGTCCCTTCTGGCCTAAATATCTATGAATCTATGAATCTATGAAGGTGAGTTATTACCAGCAGGAGAGTGGGGGCGGGAGGCGGGGAACCTTTTGTAGTGATAATCAAGGTGGGCCATTTCCAGCAGTTGACAAGCATGTCTGAGGAAGGGGGGAGGGGAATAAACATGGGGAAATAGTTTTACTTTGTGTAATGACACATCCATTCCCAGTCTTTATTCAAGCCTAAGTTAATTGTATCCAGTTTGCAAATTAATTCCAATTCAGCCGTCTCTCGTTGGAGTCTGTTTTTGAAGTTTTTTTGTTGAAGAATTGCAACTTTTAGGTCTGTAATCAAGTGACCAAAGAGACTGAAGTGTTCTCCGACTGGTTTTTGAATGTTTTAATTCTTGACGTCTGATCCTGAGAGAGCAACTTCACTTTTTAACTCCTGAAAGAGCAACTTACAATTCCTGAAAGAGCAACTTCCCTTTTTAACTCCTGGAAGAGCAACTTACAACTTAACCCTCTCTGGGCCAGAGGGAGAGATGCTAAGCCTCCCTCTGTATCACTCAGCCTACTACCACCAAGGGTTCATACACTAAATATAAAAATCCTTCCCAGAATCAGAGAGAGAAACACTAAGTTCTCCTCTTAAGGTCAGTTTTGCTACAGCTGAGAATGTATGTACCTAGGCTTTTTCGGTTTGGAGTGGAGTGGCCCACCTTGATTATCACTACAAAAGGTTCCCCCCCCGGCCCCCCGCCACTCTCCTGCTGGTAATAATTCACCTTACCTGATCACTCTCGTTACAGTGTGTATGGTAACACCCATTGTTTCATGTTCTCTGTGTATATAAATCTCTCCACTGTATTTTCCACTGAATGTATCCGATGAAGTGAGCTGTAGCTCACAAAAGCTTATGCTCAAATACATTTGTTAGTCTCTAAGGTGCCACAAGTACTCCTTTATTTTGCGGATACAGACTAACATGGCTGCTACTCTGAGGCTCTGTACAGAGATCTTCCTTTATTATGAGCAGCTTATTTTAAGTTTCACATTGTATTTATTTTTGTGAATTTTAAGGTATTAAAAAGTATCCAGAGTTCTGAATGGATGTTTTTAGGATTTTCTCAGTTTATAATGGAAACAAAATCAACAACCATTCACTTTTAAACATGCAGTAATGCTCCTCAACCATCACTGATTTAAGTAAATCAACTGCAAAAAGCACCTATTTGTTCATACTAGTAAGGATTTTAATTACATCTTTCAGCCCAAACTTGCAACAGTAATATACCTGTCAAATTCACCCAGCATCTCTTCTCGTCTCTCAAGCTCTTCCAATCGGGCCCACAGTTCCTCCTCAGATTGGGAACAGCCCTTGGACTTTGTATCTGTCCCATTTTCTTGAAAATGTACCTCAAAAACATCTGACACTTTTGGCTTTGAATGAGGCTTGTGAGCAGTTCTGCGTTTTCCTGTGCAAAATAAATAAATGGTATTTAGCCAAAACATTTTCCATTTCAAATTACTGCTGAATTGTTTAGGTAATACTGTCAGTGAACCAGAACATTGTCACAGGATAATGCTACGGCAAAACAGAAACACTGATACTTCTATTACAGTGGTTTGGTACCTCTCATTTGATTTAATCATTTCCTCTAGTGGTGCACTAGTGTGACAGTTGCTCACTGTGCCATTAATTGGGGAAACAAACCTTCTTTGTGCTTTGGCTCACTTGGGACCAACTATCTATACAAGTAGATGTTTTTTAAATTTATGAAGTACAGCAATGTTACCTGAAAATTAGAGATGATTTACAGGACAAAGTGGGAAATGTAGCAGGAGCCCATGGTATCTGCACATCCCTCTTCGCGAAAAACCTCTCACCTATGTCTGAGGACTTCAATAGCTCAGACACAGATGAGAGGTTTTTCGCAGGAGTGGTGGGTGAAATTCTGCGGCCTGCGTTGTGCAGGAGGTCAGACTAGATGATCATAATGGTTCCTTCTGACATAAATATCTATGAATCTATGAATCATGAATTCACTTCACCCAACAACAAAAAGCCATTTTTAGCTTTAAGATCTTAGTTTTCTAATAACAAAAATGAAACATTTAAAGCTTCAGAAGTGGCTAGAGAAATTTGCTCCTCAGTGAACAGCAGCCACAATCAGTCACTGTGGTCATTTAAATGTTTCATAATCTGTTCAAATGGTAAACACATTTGTTTCCAGACTCATAGACCTTAAGACCAGAAGGGACCATCATGATCATCTAGTCTGACCTCCTGCACATGGCAGGCCACAGAACCTCACCCAACCACTCCTGCAATAGGTCCATAGCCCCTGGCTGAGTTACTGAAGTCCTCAAAACTTGATTCAAAGATTTCAAGTTACAGAGAATCCACCATTTGCTCTAGTTAACACCAGCAAGGGACCCATGCGGCAGAGAAAGGTGAAAAAATCCCAGGGTCTCTGCCAATCTGCCCTGGAAGAAAAGTCCTTCCTGACCTCATATATGGTGATCAGTTAGACCCTGAGCATGTGGGTGAGACCCACCAGCCAGACATCTAGGCAAGAATTCTCTGTAGTAACTCAGAGCTCTCCCATCTAGCATCCTATTTCTAGCCATTAGAGAGATTTGCTCAATACCAGACATGGATGGGCCATATGCCGTTGTCAGCAATTTCATCATACCATCCCCTCCATAAACTTAGGATTTTTTAAACAAGTGAGGGTTTTTTGCTCCCACTACACCTCTTGGAAGACTATTCCAGAACTTCATTCTTCTGATGGTCAGAAACCTTCATCTAATTTCAAGCCTAAACTTGTTGATGGCCAGTTTATATCCCTTTGTTCTTGTGTCAACATTGGCGCTTAACTTAAATAACTCCTCTCCCTCCCTGGTATTCATCCCTCTCATGTATTTATAGAGAGCAATCATCTCTCCCCTCAGCCTTTGTTTTGTTAGGCTAAACAAGCCAAGCTCCTTAAGTCTCCCCTCGTAGGACAGGTTCTCCATTCCTCTGATCCTCTTAGCAGCTCTTCTCTGCACCCACTCAGTGTGAATTCATCTTTCTTAAAGATGGGAGACCCGAACTGCACACAGTATTCCAGATGAGGTCTGACCAATGACATGTACATTGGTAATAAAAATTCCGTATTGCAACTGAAAATACCTTGCCTAATGCATCCTAGGATTGTCGTAGCCTTTTTCAGGGTTGCATCACATTAGTGGCCCATAGTCATCCTGTGATTGACCAATATACCTAGGTCTGTCTCCTCCTCTGCTGCTTCCAACTGTTAAATCCCCAGCTTATAGCAACCACTCTTGTTGTTAGTCCCACTTTGCACTATTAAATTTCACCCTATTTCTATTATTCCAGTTTTTAAGATTGTCCAAACCTTCTTATATGATGTTCTAGTCCTCCTCCATATTGGCAGTACCTCCCAATTTTAGGTCATCCACAAATTTTTTCAGTGCACTCCCACTTTCTGTGCCTAGGTCATTACTGAAAAAGTTAAATAAAATTGGTCCTAAGACTGATCCTTGAGGAACTCCAATAGTAACCTCCCTCCAGCCTGACAGTTCACCTTTCTGTATGACCCACTTTAGTCTCCGCTTTGATCAGTTCCTTACCCATCTTTCAATTCTTGTATTAATCCCCATCTCCTCCAATTTAACTAAATTTCCCATGTGGAACTGTATCAACTGTTTTACTGAAATCCAGACAGAATATATCTACTGCACTTCTTTTGTCTAGAAAATCAGTTATCTTCTCAAAGAAAGAGATCAGGTAGGGCTGCCATGATCTACCTTTTCTAAAACGATGTTGTATTTCATACCAATTACTGTTTAGCTCCATGTCTTTACACTCTCCTTCAAAATTTGTTCCAAGACCTTGCATACAACTGAGGTCAAACTAACAGGCCTGTAGTTTCCCAGATCACTTTTTTCCTTTCTTAAATATAGGTACTATATTTGAAATTCTCCAGTCATAGGGTACAAGCTTTGAGTTTATGGATTCATTAAAAATCCTTGCTACTGGGATCACAATTTCATGTGCCAGTTCCTTTAATATTCTTGGAGGAAGATTACCTGGGCACCCTGTTTTGGTCCCTGTGACAGAGTGCAGGGAGAGAGTAGGTGAACCTGCTCTTTGGTCACTTAGATGCTAATTAGTGCCCCAGAAGAAGCTGACTGGGGGTAATTAGCTAATCAGGCTGATGGGCTAAGAACTCAATTGGCCCAATCAGCCCAGGGATGATAAAAGAGGCACAGGAAGGAAGTGCAGAGGGGAGACAGGGAGGAACAGGGCTAGTGGAATCTAGTCATATAGAGGCCTCAGATAGGGAGACCTCTGTTCCCCTCAAGTCCTGCTGAGAGGGCCTAAAGCTCAGCAAATATTGTAAATACGTGGGAGCGCAGGAGACTGTGGTGATATTGGTGAAGGGAAACTGAAATAAAGTTTCACTGAGAACACACCCATGCAGAGTCCATGCGGTTTCTGGAGGGAAGAGGATGGGGTGGAGTTAGGCCCCTGTTACAGTCCCATTAAGCTCTCAGAGTTTGGCTTCCACCCTGAATGTGGTAATTTCTACTTCCATAGCCTCATTCCCATCAGCCACCTTGCCAGTGCCCCTATGCTCTTCATTATCTTTATTAAAAACTGAGACAAGTATTCATTTAGGTGTTGGATATCTAGATTATCTTTATTTCCACTCCATCCTCTGTGTTTAGTGGTCTCTCTTCTTTTTTCCTTGTTTTCTTTTTATTTATACGGCCAACGAATTTTTTTTACTTTTGGTTTTAATTTCCTTTGCAAGGTCCAGCTCTGCTTGGCTTTTGGCAATTCTCACTTTATTCTTACACTTCCACACCTCAAAGAGGTAGCTTTTCATGCTGATCCACCCCTTCTTCCTTTCCTTGTGGGCTTTCTGCTTTCTCTTAATAACCTGTTTGAGATGCTTGTTCATCCAGTATTGGCTGCAACTGTTCCTTATGAGTTTTTTCCCCTTGCTCAGGATGCAGGCTCCAGATACTTTAAGTCAAAGTTGCAGAAACTAATTCCAAACCTCCTTCACATTCTGATCCTTGAGTTCCTCGGTCCAGTCAACTTCCCTAACTAATTCCCTTAATTTTGTTTTAAGTTTACCAGCGAAAATCAAGGACTCTAGTTGCAGTGAACATATCTTACTATTTGTTTGGATAGTGCCTTGCACATTATGAGCAGTATCATAGCAAAAATGATCCCAGTGCCTCAGTTCCCTATCAGTAAAATGAGGATTGCATTTCCTTTCTTCTACCCTTTGTCTGGTCTTACGTATTGAGACTGTAAACTTTCCAGGACAAGGTCAGTCTCTTACTAGGTGTTTGTAAGAGCCTAGCACAGTGGAGCTGTGGCCTCTAGATGATACTGCAATGCAAATATAATCAATAGTAAAAAAAAAAAAAAAATTAAAAAAAAAAAAAGATAAACTCCTTTTTTAATGGAAAATCCAAAAGCTTTAAAGCATTTGAGAGCAGTCACAGAAACTTGCTGAGAGCCTCCCTCTTCATGAGTTTATTCTTGAAGCCACTTTTAAAGCATTAAGAACTTTTTTGGTTAAAAGGTATCGCTGCTCAAATGTGGTAGTTCGTATTTTAGCAACTAGATATCAAAGTCTCAGAAGCAACTATAGAAAACAAATTCAAAATAGTGCCTGAAAGTAGCATGTTAGGATGTTAGCCAAAGCTCTTTTAAGTGGACAACACTATACAGCATACCATTAACAAAAGGCTGAATTCAATTTTTACCGAGACTTAAATATAAAACTGTGGTAAGCTATCAAGCAATCTGAATGGCTTACACAGATTTCATTTGATATAAAAGAAGATGACAAAATTAACAAATAAATATTGCTTTTTGTAAATAAAATTTGAAAGGACTGTTTTCCAATATATTTCAATTTTATTTTTAGGTTTTCCTCTTGATATTTGATTTGCTTATGTTACCCTTCAGTACCAACAACTTGGCTACTCAAAGATAATTCAAGATATCTTGAAAACTGGAGTTTCTCAAGCGTGCCAGTATTTTGCACTTCTTACTTCGGCAATAATGCCCTGAGTAAGGAAAGCACAACAGGGCACAATAAACTCATACAGCGACCAAAAGTAGTACAGAGAAGACTGGAGAGATAATGACATAATAGAGAGACATTTTAGATACTGTTCTTTGCTTCCTCAAAGATGTAACCATTTCTCTGTCACCAAGAATGATGCCCAGATGATCAAAGCCAGGCTTGCCCTAGCGCAGTTGTTAATTAATATCATTTGGATACTTATCTCTCAATCTCAGAGAATAAAGCATCAATGCAAGAACAGTGATAAAACAAGCAAACAATCTATCCTTACATATTTTCACAAAGAATAAGTTATCTTCAAGAAAACACAGCTAATGAAGGTATAGGATACAAGAGAGATTCAAATGTATATAGACCATAGATGAAATCTGAATCAGTAGCTATCATGAGACATCAAATTGGAATGAGTATTTATAATATAATGTTGCCGTAGTAAAAGTTTAATATACTAATATGTAAGAATAGGCCCACTTCCCAGAATGCTAAAAACCTATATTTTGCTTCATAACTGCCAAAGGTACTGGTGACCTTTGTCCTTCCAACACTGAAATTACTGCCTCCACCTTCAAGTGCAAGGAATTTACTGATTTATTCCATGAAAAAGATCCCAATGCAGTATTATGTCAGCCAATCAAACATCTCCAGTTCATAACCCACTCCGATCTCCACATGTCCTACTGACACTGTATTTTCAGCAAAGAAAACCAGTGTTTCTTCTACCCTTAATTCTTTTCACCTTTTGAATACTGTCTCAAATAGCACAGAACACAACTATCTTTCACCATTCCCCTCATCAAAAAACACTCCCTCTTTACACGCTAAATTTCCCATTGCTAATTTTTCTTTCTTCGAAAATCCTGCAGTGACTTTTCACATATATTTCACTATTTCTCCAAAAACTACATTTTGAGATTTTCTAGTTTGGCTTTCAATCCCTTCTCACAATAGTGAAAATGCCCTGGCTATGCTCAGTGTTCACCTCACCTCACATATGCCTGACACCCCCTTCTCATACTTCTTGCCCTCGCTGCTGACACTATGTGCAATGACATACGTCCCAAGGAACAGATGAAGTCTGAAACTTAGTCCTCCTAGTTTCACTACTACCCATTCTTTTGTGTGACTCAGAACAGACATGTGTCTATACTGTCACTAGATCTTTCTTCTGTGTGTCCCCCAGGAGTCAGTCTGTGGTCCTTCCTCCTTCTCGATTTGGTCAACTCCTCTGAATTTGTAACATTGGGGGTTTGTTTCTCTGAAGATTCCGAAATCTGGTTACTGAGCTCTCGGTTGGTAACCTAACCCTCCAAGTCAGGATTGTAACACAATGGCATAATCATGTGGACTAAGCCTCTGCTTACGTTAACTATGCTGTTCTGTGGATAAAGAAGGCTTAAATCTCTACGGCCTTTCCTTTAAACTCAATAAAAATAAATTTAAAAAACATATGAAGTCTGCTATCATAAATATAAAATAAATAATTGTTTGAATGTTACTCAATTTAAAAAGACCATTTTACTGATTTGTAATAGTCATTTACCTTTTGTTTCAGTGCCATCATTTTCAGCTTCTTCTCTTATATCAACAATATCACCTGCTGCCTAATTAGAAAGATATTAAATCATTACTTTTTACAATGTTATGTTTACTAGAAATAGAAGTATTTTAATATAACTTGCTTAACTAACTGCAGCCATATGCAACCGTAGAAAAGAGTGACTGCATTACTTCTCTACATGTTTTTTATTAATCTGAATATTCATGTTTCTCTAGATTTCTATTTTAGAAACTGGTTAGGTTCAGTACTAAAAATTAGACACTTACGTCACTCATCTTCTGCAAATCTTCTGTGAATTCAATTCTGGATTCAAAATTCTTCATGACTTTTTGCAAATCATCCAGTGCTTTCCTTACGT